CTAAACCCTAAACCCTAAGCCAGTCCAGGAACCTACAGGGCACCAGGGAACTCTGCGGGGGCATCTCGGAAAGGTTCTCTCTTCGTGGTTTGGGGTGTAGGGTTTGGGGTTTAGGGTTTGGGGTTTAGGGTTTGGGGTCGACACATGTTGTTGCGCCCTTTGGGGCTGGGGACCCTGGGATATGTGAAGGTGAAGGCTTGAGAAGCTTTTCTGAGATGGTTCCGCAGCTGACCACATGAGTCTGCTGACTACGAGGCTATCGGGAGAATGTGGCTGCCTTCCCACAGCAGTGAAGTTTCAGATGAAGTTTCGAGAAGATCCACCGGAGTCCCGAACACTGGATCTTAATGCTTTGGGATTCGACTTGTCCCCTGGCATGCCATAGAAACGCAAGAAAGTCTTGCACTTTGTCCAGCATGCTCCAGGGTGTAGGTTTAGAGCCCCAAGCCCTAAACCCAAAGCCCTTAAACTGGAAGACCCCTACTTCGAGGGTCGGGAGGACTTAGTAAGTAGATATCAAGTAGTGTTATGAGTACCTTAGACGGGATCCTAATTGGGGTTATGGTACTTATAAGTCTGTAAAATAACTAGTTACTAAGTCCCCCACCCTCCAAGTAAACCCCAACCCGAGGACTTTTGGGCCCCGCCTCGCCGTAGTCCTTCTCCCGGGAAGTCCTTGTGGAGGCTGGAGCCAGGAACGCAACCCACAGAGGACGCTGGAAAAAGCTGCGTGGGAGGATCTCGGCTTCCTGGGGTTTTTAAAGCTTCAACATGCAGGGTCTTTTCTGGTGTGCGACGCTGAGACAAAGTGCCTATAGTGAAAAACCGTTGTATGTCAGGTCCTCCTGAGTTTGAGTACAAAGGGCAACAGGCACCTACGGAAACCATAGGATCCCCTCTGTGAGGGTGTGGGTGTGTCAGCTATGTCCCCTTTGAACAGCGTCTCCTGCTTTAGATCGTTTCATGCGCAAGGCTCTCAAAGCTCTCGTCAGCATGTGGGACGTTCGTTGTCGTGGTGTCCGATGCTTTGCCCAAGAAGATCTCATACGGTGATCCTTGTAACTCTCACAACAAGCGACGGTTGAGTTCAAAAGCTCATAACTGTCAGAGTTGGTGATCGCCGAAGGGTCGAGATCGCTGTCGAGTTGTTCAAAAGGTACAGGATCCGCATGTGTTGGGTTTGTAAGCTTATAAGGCGGAAGATGGTCAAGCATGTCATTTTTGCCTTGGCAGTCTCGGCAGAGTTTCGCGGAGAGTTGCAGGATCTGAAGCTTGAACAGCTACAAACCCTCATGTCGTGATCTCGAAATGCCTAAACCGTTTGGCATGTTCGGAAAGCACATTTAAGTCTTGATTCCTGTCCGGCAATCTAGGGCTCGAAGTGTCAATCTAGCAACTTTCTCCCATGGTATGCCCGCATTGGATAGACGGTCCCCAGATTCAAGGCTCGCAGTCCCGTCAAGAAGGCCAGCCCCAACCACAGACTCACCCTACCAAAAGCCATACAACACCCCAGAGCGAACCACACCAAAAAAGAAATAACAACAAACTTTGGCACGGGGAAGCCCGGACTTGAAATAAGCTGCGTGTGCTCTGCAAGCACACCATGTCCCGTGATTGCAAGCTGGATTTCCGTCCACACTTGCACGGCTTCAGGCTTCTGCAAAAGAAGCCTAAGTAATTAGCAATATTTTTCCTCAGGGTTCCTTAAGAAAACCATACTGTAAGGGAGCCCAAAGCCCTTTCTAACTATTAAGGCCCTTACATGACCAATCCTATAGCGCCTCCAAGTCTGTTCCATTTGGGTTCCGTTCTTTGAATTTGGTGCACCTCGGGGAACAGCTGGGGTTTCGGATGTGATGTGTCGCCGCTTTTACTTCTTGGTCTGGTGTCACTTGAGGTTGCGCAGGTCTGGATACGTGGAGCCCTTTATGCTGTGCACACAGTTCTTTCGTTTCTGCAGGAACATTCAATGCTAGCAGCTACCAGTTAATTCTAAACCTTGCAAAGGCTTGCGTTTCCGTTCTTCCCAGAAAGCCCAATACCCCTAAATCAAGGGAATACGCCTTGAGTTGCAAAGCAAAAAGTGGCCTGGCGGCCAGGGTACTTTCCATGGCGCTTGGATCAACCCCTTACGGCCCAATCTTCTGAGCCACCCGTCCCTCATTAACTGTTGGATGAAATCTTTATACTATGGATATACGAAGTCCTTATTATGATCCTCGCTTCCAATGGGGGGGCAGTACCCAACTTGTACCCCAAATCTTAGACCTCGACACAGGAGCTGCGAAAGCTCAACACGTTGATGGCTTGGGAGTGCCCCTGACCAGAAGAGAAGATGTAGAAAAGATGAGTGTAGGTGCATGTTTCTACTGCACGTCTGGAAGGGATGTTTGACCTAAGCTTTTGATGAATCCTCTAGAATCCTGGAGTATCGTGGTAGGAGCACCATGTGGAAAATATGCTGCCTGGTGTATCCAGGCCCAAGATCAACAAGCCAGGAGGTGACGTTGACCCAACCCCAGCAGGGGCCATGTTCTTTGCCGACCAGCGCTGCGCATGCATGTGACCTGAGTGTCACAGTCAGCACATTCACTGATCCTTTGGTGGATGGATTGCCGCACGGCTTCGCCGTGGATGGCAACTATGCGTATGTTCCCCAGATGGAGACGAGCAGAAACAGGCTCACGGTTGTTGACCTTTCGGATCCAACCAACCTCACCATAGCAGGCAGCGTGCAGGACACCCAGTACTTGAGTGGGGCAGCCGCAGTTGTCGTGTCCGGCAGCTACGCCTATGTGGCCTCTTTTGTGAGCTTTGGGGTGGCAGTTGTGGATATCTCCAACCCAAACTCGCCAGCTCTAGTGGGAGGTGTGCAAGATGCATCTTGGGATAAAATGGCTGGCGTGGCCGTGCAGGGTGACTTCGTGTATTCAATCTGCTTTGATTGCAATACTTTCTTCGTGTTCAACGTAACGGTGAAGAGTAGTCCGACGTTGATCGGGTCCTTGGTGGACACGACAAACTTCAACATGCCGTACGCGGTAGCCCTTTCAGGCGGACATGCATTTGTGTTCTCCTCAGGCGGGGCTTCTCAAAATCAAGGAGCCCCTAAACCCAAAGTCTAAACTCATCTGAACCCTAAAGCCTGAACTCAAATATCTTAAACCCTCAACCGAGTTAATACCGCGGCCATCAATGCCATTGATATCAGTGATGGTGCAAACCCGACATTGGTGGCGACTTTCCAGAATCTTGGCAGGCTGTAGAGAACAGGTGTCGAACATCAGCTCCGTTTCTAGCCACTTCAAGAAGGTTTCCCCCCTGTAAAGTCCTTGTTGCAAGGACCCGCAGAACCCTAATCAACCACAAATCCAATTGAGACCCAAAGAAAGGGCTCCAGCCTGGTTGCAAGTGGATGCTACAAGATTTAGGGACTTCCGGGTTTAGTTCCCTCAGCGGTTCCTTTTCAGGGTTTAGGGTTTAGGGTTCAGGCTTCAGGGTGGAGGATTTAGTGTTGAGGATTTAGGATTTAGGGAGTCTAGGGTTAGGATTTAGGGTGGTTAGATTGAGCATTGCGTGTTGAGGATTCAGCTTTGAGGATATGGTGTGGAGAGGGTTGCGGATCTAGGTTTGAGGATTACGGTTTGCAAGATTGAGCGGGTAGTCTTGAAGAGCTGGTTTTTGAAATGAGAAGTGGCCAGCTGGAGTCGTCACAATTCAAAGTCGAATGCCCCGAGATTTTGGTTTGAGAAGGCTGTTCACTTCCTGTTCGACCTGTGCTTCGGACAGCAGGCTCAAGAGCTAATGAGGATAGACCGCCCAGTTGCTTTTGTTGCTTGTGGCTCTTTTGTTTATCACCCGAGCACCCAAACGGGGCTCAGCCTCGGCATGTACACAGTTTGGTGGAACTGTCGATGGCAAGTTTTGATCATGGTCATCTGCTGGTACAGTGCCGGGAGGCTTGTGCCAAACGTTGTTGCAGTTCCTGGAATGGTGAAGTTTCCTTGCCGCCGCCGGGGCTGCATCGGTTGGGTATGGCTTCCGGCGGCAGTCAAACCTTGGCCATCTTGTCGACAGAGACTGCAGTCTCAAATTTACCGGCGCCTAACCCATGCAGAGGCTTGCTGGACCTGAAGCTGTTGCGTGAGACGAGTGCGCCACAGGCTGAGGCCGTGGCCATGCTGCCTGCATTTCTGGGTGTTGATACACCAGTTAGCATTTGGTCCGGCGACTGCGTATTTCAAGCCAGTGCTGGAGAGGTGGGAGTTCACGTCCACGTGAGGAGGGGGGAACTGCTCGGCATCGCTTGTCACGGTTTCTTCCTGCGAGCAACGCCTCACAATGCACTGCATTCTATGAGCAACCTACGTGGAAAAAGAGAGTGAAGTCCACACTGCTTTGCTTGACTTTCTAGACTAGACTCTAGTCGACTATAGAGCACGGGTTTGAGAAGTACTTAGTTTGTGCGGAAAAGAGGTCGACATTGACCGAACCAAAGATCAAATATAGGTGCCGCGGCAGAATTAGTGCGAAGTGACAACTTCATGCTTTCATCGAATCGACGATCGGATCACGAGTGGATCTGCTAAATCCGATTGATTACGAACTTGTTACATATCCGTTGCCATTTGGCTTAAGTTCTTTGTCAAAATTTTCTTCTCTCCTTTCCTCGGTTGGACTTCGATTGCTCCACGACAGTTGTCGTCATGGTTACTCGTCGTAGCAACTCGTGGTTGGACTTCCTGTGCGAAGGAGGCACTACTTTGATGCCACGAGGTGTGCACATCCCTCCGAGTATGCTGGAGCAGTTCCCCGAGGAAGTGGAGAACGATAAGATCATTTACGTGGATACAACCGATTGGGTTGTTTGCCCCCGGATACTCCGATCGAAAAACTGCGACTGCCGTAGGAATTGTCCGTGCCTACACCCCGATTTCGTGGGTGGTTTCTGGGGGGTGCCGGACCTCATCTGCCGCAAGTGGTTTCAGGGTATCTGCGGTTATGACAGCCGATGCTGGAACCAGCACGCCGATACCTTCGACGAGGCGATGAGAGCTGCGAACCAAGTGCAAGCTTTGCTTCGGGGCAGCCGTACGCCCTTCTCCTACGAGACAACCGATAAGGGCATCTTGCAGCAAGTCAGTCGAGCCGAGGCCTCCAGGATGATTACTACGACTATGGCCCGGTATAGACTAGATGACTTCACCCACGACTACGACTACCCAAATTGGGATATTCACAAGATGCCGTCCGTGTTCGTGCCGCAAGAAGAACAACGACACTTGGAGCGACGAGGATTTCGTCGAGATGCTTCGCCCCACGGACGAGGTAGGGGTGCCTCCCCTCGTCGAGGACTGTCGCCCCGAGCCCCACATCAGCAACCTGCGGCGTGGACGGACAGACCCCGAGTCTCTACTCCCTGCAGCCCGCCCTCCGACAGGCTCGCAGACTACACGAACGAGCTCATACTTCGATGGTCCCGCGATGGAGACAGAGTCAGTGCCGAGCTTGGGTCGCACGCCCTAGACCAGAACCTCTTTCCGCCAAGGCGATGCAGAGGGGATGGGGGCCCACATAGCGCAATCTCCAGCACGACGATGGCTGGACGCCGAGGATCCACGAAGAGGAATGTCCCCTCATCCGATTATATACACCGCCGGTGACTCGACCCAAAACGACATCAGTCGACGATGATTTGTGGAGTCAATGCGAGGAGGAAGTACAGAGGGCCCGTTCTTGGCAGGCACGCCCCGACAATAGGGGCCGCACCGCGCAAAATTACATCGATGATGCCTGAGGCACGGAGTGGATCAACGAGTCCGCAAGACCCGCCACTCCTCCGACAACGAGACCTTCGGCGGACCAGATGGTGCAGGTGAAGGCGATGCCCAAGGCGCCGATTCAGTTGGACCAACTCTTCCTCTAGACTTTTCGAGTGACTGTCTCACCGGAGGTCTTAATAAACCTAGTACTTTTCCATTCGTTCAACATGCCACAAATCTGCGGATGTCGCCGCCTAATTCGACCATGACTCGGCTCCCACTTCGATTTCATCGACTGCCAGCTCCTACACTACGACACCCTCTCCGACGCCTTCGGCATCTTTACGAGAAAAAGGTCCGACAGCACTCGCCGGTTTTCACATCGAGACACCCAGCTCCTCAATTTGGTTTCCAGACCAGTCGACACTTCGACGGCTACCCCGTGCTTTCTTTTCGACTTTGGAGCCGATGACTTGACTGGGTGGCAACGACGTGGCTATGCTGCCCCCGGGAAACCACCCCTTCGCCGCCTGTGCCCCGGATGCTCCTTGGGAGATTACCTGTACTACGTCGATCAGGTCTTGAACTGTCCGACACACAAGTCGACCCTCGCACAGTTCGGTTTGTTCCTCGATCTTCCTGTACATTGCCCCGATCAGCATGCGCTAGACGAACGAGTTCTCCTGTTGGGTGTGCCGAATAACTTCAACGATCTGAGATCTACGCTGACCTATTCGGTGGCCTGGCACTCGGTTACAGCGAGCTTGGCGGACCTGCGCCACGCCAGTACCGATCGATTCGCCAGACTCCGAATTTGGTGCTTTTGTTCGAGGGACATGCACCGACTCTCGGTCAACTGCGCCGCATATCCCCCGATGTCCGATATGATGCGGCGTTTCAGTTCGGCAACCCTGGATTGTGCTCCTGGTTCGCACAGCATGCACAGGTGACAGAATTTGTGACTGCAGAGCCCCCGAGCTTCTTCATTCGACTTCGAGGATGATGACCAAGACCTCTTCCCCTTTTACGACGGGGGCGAGCCACCTTTTCCCAGTGAGCGCTGTGAAGATTGTGGGACCTTAGTCGCCACTACGACGATGACACCGCGCAACAAGCCGTCGAGGTTCACGCCTTTAAGAAGGCCTCCGAGAAGATGGGCACAGCCAACCTCCGACATTTTACTTACCCCGATGCGACAGACGCCGAGCTCATCGAGATTTGGAAGATGGATGTGGGCCGCGATGGCAAAGTTTGGAGGGACTCCGACGCTAACCTCGTCGAGCAGGGCCACGAAGATGGCACCAAGAGTGTCGTCGGCGATCCTCAACCAACGAGGATCGGTAGGAGGCCGTCGATATGATGTCTTCGATCAGTCCTCCGTGGAGGATTTCGACGATGACACCAAGTGCGGACAATACGCCAAGTTGTACTTCGATGCGATGTGGGACCACCAACGGAACAGCTGGGTCAGGAAACCGGTCTTCTACGTCAATAACCGCTCCACCTCCGATATCAGTATCCTCGAGTGGTACAAGCTCCAGCAGTTTTCGATCTTTCGAAGATTACAACGGTTGCCTCGAGATCTCGATCAAGCCTAGCAAACGACAACCACCCGACGTACAACACCGTATACAGGGTGTCTTGATTTCCTTCGGCCACAAGAACCTAGTGTTGACGCCGTGCCCTGCCCGGGCCAAAACGATGTGGCAACAGATCGACAAACATCTCGCCGAGAATCGCTTAGCCCCGGAGGAGGCTAGAAAGATGGCAGGCAAGTGTATTTTCTTGACGGGCCGCCTATTCGGCAAAGTGGGTCGAGAACCTCTCAAGGCTATCTACGCGCGTGCCAATATCAACACTTACAGCCTCGACAAACCCACGAGAGCCTCATTGCTCGCGCTCAAAGATATCATTTTCACAATACAAGCCGATGACGATCCCTCGGAACTCTGTAGCACATCACTACAGCGTCATCTACACCGATGCTTACTTCAAGTTGGGGGGAAAGGTCTACCGCCCAGGCGACGAAGATCTTCCCACTTGGAACTCCGACTCAACGAAAGACATCGAGAACGGATGGGCTGCGGTGTGTTTCCACCAAGGTGATGTACACAATGCCGCATATTTTCAATGCAGATTACCGTCCATTCTCCTACGTCAATTTTCCTCCGACCAGGCGTTTATCTACCTTCTCGAGGCCTGGGCAGCGATCCTGGCCTCATTGATCTTCGAACCCTGGCTCGGTAACTTCTACATCCAATGCTGCGACAATGAGGCGTCCCGACATGCCCTGATTAACGGAGTAGGCAAGCATCAGCCTCTCAATTGCCTCATGGCAGCACATTGGACATGGCACAATCGTCGTGGCCTCGCACGTCGGTTGGAAAGAGTTCCAACCAAGGTTAATATCGCCGACGCCATCAGTCGATTTGAGGACATCGATCAAGCTCGAGAGTGGCTTCTACTGGAGCTACTTTTGGCTCAAATTACAGATCGGGCGGCTAAGATCAAAGGAGACATCGATTTTGCTTCGAAGAATGGTTTTTCGGACTTGCCAGGAATTGACCGATTACATCGCATCCTGGCTGAAAAAGACCGGTAAGGTCTCGTGGCGTTCGCGTGCGCCGATGGGAAAACGGTCGGTCCTCCAAAACATGGATGGACTATTTCTGTAAGAAATGAAAGTCAGCATCGATGGAAACCGATCAGACTCCGAGAGGAAAGCAGTTAGAAAAGTCCGCCTGTCAGGGATCTATGGTATCTGGGTGAAAGCTTCTGTTGTCGTGTCGCAAACTTGTGTGCGACGTGACAACTTCATGCTTTCATCGAATCAACGATCGGATCACGAGTGGATCGCTAACCGATTGAATACGAAATTGGTACATATCCGTTGCCATTTGGCTTTTGTTCTTTTTCTTTGATTTTCTTCTCCCACCCTCCCTAA